CTTTCAGCAAGCAAGATTATGTCATGTGCATAGCACAGGTTGTTGATGAATCTTCCTCCAATGCTGATGTCACATTCATTTCATAAAGTCCAGTTTCTCGAATGACTTCTTTGACATAGAATTTAAACAAGTACACCTTTTTTATTGTAAACCATGCCATGTTCCCTTGCTTTGTCTGGACAATAGCTTGCTGTTTGGGCATAAATTTCATATCTGGGATTACCATTCAATGGTATAAACAACAAGAGGGAGAGTAGAAGGGAATGAGTTGCATGGTGCTCCTGCTTACCTTGTAATTGTTTACATGTATACGTGCTTTTTTATAGTTTGTTCTTATGAATAAGTACTTATCAGTCAGTTCACTCTATCGAGCTGGAATCTGTGCCATTGGTATTTTAATACCATCAAGTCACCCACAGTGGACAGATTTCAGCAGAGCTGCCAAAATAAGACACACTAGGAATAAGAAGTCGTCATTCACTTTCAAAATAACAGGCCTTTGAAAACCCTATGGACAAAAGTGAAACACTTTCAGACACAAACTAGAGGTAGAACCCTTACAGAAAAAGACAATAAAGAAAGGAGAAACAGCTGCAAATATCCATTAGTGAATGGAACATAGAATATATGAAGTATGGATGTAGGAAAATTGAAAGATGTAAAGAATGAAATATAAAAATCAACATTCTAGGCATTATCAAACTGAAATGGATCACTTTGCCTACCTAGTATGTCAAATGTATCATCCAGAAAGAGTGCAAGCAGTCATTACAAAGACAGAAGAGGAAGAAAAGACCAAAATGGATGTCAGAAGAAAGTCTGAAGATTGCACTGGAGTGTAGAGAAGCCAAAGCACAAGGAAGAATTCAAGATACTAAAGAGCTGAACAGAAGATTCTAAAAGGCAGCACGGGATGACAAAGCAAAATATTATAATGAAATGTGCAAGGATCTAGAGTCAGAAAATCAAAAGGGCCAAACTCGTTCAGCATTTCTTAAGCTCAAGGGACTAAAGAACACATTCAAACCTCGAGTTGCTATAATCAAGGATGCTTTAGGCAAAATATTTAATAATCCAGGAAGTATTAAAAGAAGATGGAAGGAATATACTGAGTCATTGTATCAAAAGGAATTGGCAAATACAGAATAATTTAATGAAATAACATTTGAGCAAGAGCCTATGGTGATGAAGGAAGAAGTCCAAGATGCTTTGAAGGAAATAGCAAAAAAATAAGGCCCAGGAATAGATGGCATACCAATTGACGTATTTCAGCTAACAGATGCTGCCCTGGATGTGCTCCCCAAGTTGTGCCAAGAAATCTGGAGAACACCACTTGGCCAACTGACTGGAAAAGATCTATATTTGTTCCCATTCCAAAGAAGGGTGACCCAGCAGAGTGTGGAAACTACAGAACAATGTCATTGATTTCACATGCAAGCAAGATTCTACTGAAGATTATGCAAAAACGACTGGAAAAGCACAACAGCAGAGAACTGCCAGAAATCCAGGCTGGGTTTAGAAGGGGTCGTGGTGCTAGGGATATTGTACCTGATGTTAGATGGATCT